GTTTTTATGTCTTTAAGGCAGTTATGGAGTTTAGTTAATTGATTACTTTCTTCTGGCTTCATCGATAAATACAACTGAGTATCATCCGCATAACAATGGAAATTTATAGAGTGATTTCTAATGATGTTACCTAAAGGAAGCATATATAGAGTAAATAGGATTGGTCCGAGCACAGAACCTTGCGGAACTCCAAAACAAACTTTGGTACGTAAGGATGATTCATTATGAACGTCAACAAACTGAAAACGATCAGATAAATAAGATTTAAACCAGCTTAGTGCAGAACCTTTTAGGCCAATTAAGTGATCCAGTCTCTGCAGTAGAATTTGATGGTCAATTGTGTCAAACGCCGCACTAAGATCTAATAAAACAAGTACAGAGACAAGTCCTTTGTCTGAAGCAATCAGAAGGTCATTTGTAATTTTAACTAGTGCTGTCTCAGTGCTATGATGCACTCTAAATCCTGACTGAAATTCCTCAAATAAATTATTATTATAGTATGAGTATGTGGGTTGCATCCATGAAAAATTGGCCAAATCTTCTCTGCCAAAGCCAAACAGCTTTTTTTGCTGTTGACTCTTGTTTTGAGCTTCTGGTTCAGCACTTAGGAACCGCAGGGTCCGACGTTAAGGTTTTTTCCTACTTGCCCTGCCGGGCAAGTACTTCTCAAATCTACTTGCCCCATCTAAATTCTTACTTGCCCTGCCTAAGAGGTTCTTTTTCTGGCTGTGTGGTGCATATTTTCGCTCATGACTTATATCTTACGTCAGCAGAGACGCTCAGCCAATGGAGGCAGCAGCACATAACAAAGCAGCACACTGCAACTGGCCCCTCCGAGGACAGAAACAGGAGAGGAAATACACGATTACAGGCCTGGAGTTAAGATATTTTTAGGGCAAGGCCACTTTGGCCTTTGATAAATACAAATTTATTTGGGCATCACGGCCAAAACCAATGGCACAATAACAATATGTGCTAACTACATTGAATAAAGACAAAACAATATATGTGCTGAAAAACAGTACTGAGTTTAATAAAACTGGGTGTGCATGACTGGGGATATATCTCGTTTCTTGTTGTTTTGATTCATGTCCCTTATTTTTTAAGTCTTTGAAATGTCTTTCTTTTGTTATCTCCTAGTTATTAAGAAATTATTATTAGAAGAAGATTCTTTATTGTCCTTTCTCAGCACATTACATACATTTGACCCATCCTACTGTATACACTGGGAGCAGTGGGCAGCCGCAGTGCAGCGTCCGGGGACCAACTCCAGTTCTTTTGCCAATGCCAGTGGTCAGGGTCACTGACAGGAGTATTCACCTAACATAGCCTACATATCTTTAATTATATAATTATTTATATGTCTCTATGTATATTTTTACATAAATCCCCAATATTTTATTTGACTTTAAAAAAATCCTCTTCCTTCATTTAATTAGACAGTGTTTATTGTATTGTATTATATATATTAATTCTCTACAAGATCTTGTATGTTCTTTAATGTGTGTTCAATTTATTAAAAGGAAAAAAACAAAAAAACGTTTTGGTGAATCCTGCAGCAAAGTGAGCCCTCTTCCTCAGAGAGGATCTTTGCCTCCCAGTTTGTTCCTGGCGGCAGAGCAGAGTGATCTGTCTTTTTTCTCAGAGGATCTTTGTCCCATGACAGCAGTCAGCAGGCTGTTCTTATCTATCGCTCTGCTCTCCGTGTCCGCATTTAAAACAACTTTCGCTGGTGATTTGACAGTCACTAGAAGCACATTATGACCCTTTGTAAAAGTTTCTGTGGTACCTGTGTTGTACATGAGCTAACGTTAGCGGGTAAGGACTGAGAGGCTGTCCAGTATGTGTGTCCGACTCGGTGCTGCTTGCCCGATCAGGCATGTCTGCGCAGGGTCTGCTGGCCCGCCGGCTATTTTTACTTGCCCCGGGCATTCGGGCAACCGTTAATGTCGGACCCTGAACCGTAGGCAGTCTGCTACAGATCTGCAGTCAAGGTTTGCAGGACGACATGGACGACGGCTCTCTTCCCAGACAATCCGGAACAGACTGCACGCAGCCAATCTCCAGTCTCATAGGGCTGCCAGGAGGCCTGCAACTGCTGCCCTTCACCGTCAGGCCCATCTGTGCTGGTGTCGGCAACACATGCACTGGAACCTGAACATGTGGAGGAACGTTAAGTTCAGCGATGAGTCCAGATTCTGTCTGCAGCAGTTGGATCGTAGGGTCAAAGTGTGGAGAAGACACAGAGAACACTTTGCTGATTGCTGCACCGATAGAGTAACATCTTTTGGTGGAGGCAGTGTGAAGGTGTGGGGAGGCATCTCCCTCACTGGAAAAACAAAGCTTGTCATCATTGGAGGCGACCTCATTGCAGAGAGATATGGAGATGATATTCTGCAACCAGTGGCAATCCCATATCTCCACAGTCTGGGACTGAACTCTATCCTCCAAGATGACAACACTCGCCCCAACAGAGTGGAGTTTATCAGAGACTACCTCCAGACTTTGGGATTGGAGAGGAGGGACTGGCCTGCCAGCAGTCCTGACCTCAGGAGGAGGTGCCAGGCTGGTGACCAGCATGAGGAGGAGGTGCCAGGCTGGTGACCAGCATGAGGAGGAGGTGCCAGGCTGATGTGGCTGTGTATGGTTCCTCCACACGCTACTGAGGCTCCTGTTTGTTAAATGAATAAACTGTTAAATTGCCAAAATGTCTTGTTTCTTCAGACTTCAATCATCCAATCCACCAAACAAGAGTCAACAACAAAAAAAAGCTGTTTGGCATTGGCAGAGATTTGGCTATTTTTTCATGGGCACAACCCACATACTCAGCTCTGCTGCTCATCCCACAAATGCATGATCCTTACAAATGAGGCTCCATTTAAAAGGGAAATAAACAGGCTTTGCTAAAGGTATAAGATTTATTGACAAGAAGCTTCGTTACAGCAAAGAAATAATCTATCAAACACACATTTCATTACTTTTTGTGCTTCGTTTATATGAAGAGCTGCTGAGGGTAAAGGAGAGCTCAGCGTCCAGGAGACTGAGACTGACAGGTTGCTCTGGAAACTCCCAGTCAATGTGAGGTTGCATTTATTTTTAGCCGTACAACACTTTCAGACTAAATAAATAAATCAATAAGTGGACTCAGTGCAGAGACCTTCACTGTGTGCTGCTTGTTTTACTGCTGTGTTGACTGAACGACTCAGAACATGTTACTGAGTGAATGAGAAACCAAACAAGATTCTTTGCTTCAAACTGTCACATAACATTTACAGCCAAAGTTACACTGCCACCTGGTGGAGACCCCGACACCTACAACACCTACACGATGAACTACACCAGCAGCTGACCGGTATCTGTCCAAAACGTGACTGGGTCATCTCTGATTTAAAGCCTGATGCAGCAACTTCAGCTACCAAAAAGACACTTTTGACCAAAAAGAACTAAAAAAAATCTGCCTGGAGCCACAAAACATATTTAAGTGTTACGGTAACACTGTGTACCGAGTCTAAATGATCCTGTCAACATATCGACATAGGTCTAAACGATCTTTCACAATTATGTTTTACCACGAGACGGCTCCTCTGCAGTGGGCTGTTTCTAATTACATGGTACTTTAACTTTGCAGCGTTGGCAGTCAAACAAATCTGAACACCCACTATTAAATTCTGAATTTTCCACTGAGACTTTTACTTTAATGGATTTGGAATCTATGGTTAACCTCGCTGGGGAGACTCAGGACGAGACACTGCTGGGCAAAATTTAGAGAAAAAGGCACCAGGTCGTGGACGTGTGACGCACATTTTAGTGAATGCACTACTGCATTCCAAAGAACTCGATCTTTGGAATCTAACCTAAAAGTGCAGCTGTCGCGCCCTGAAAAATAGGTGCTTGGGAACGCATGCTCTGGCGTTTGAGCACGCCTGCCTTGAGTCTACACTGAAAACACTGAATTTGAGGGCATAAAAAATGCGGCACGTGTTCAACCCTGAAGGCTCCAGAGCAGCAGGTTACCGACCGCCTGATGAAGTGTGGTCACCTGCTGAGGCAGCTGAACCAACCTGTCTGTTTTTACCTGAGGGGACGTGGACAGGTAACGTGAACCCAGGTCGTCTCACCTTTGTCAGAGTGGGAGCGGCTGTCCTCCATCTCTCTCTTCAGACTCTCCATCTGCTCCCCCATCTCCCGACTCCGCTCCTCCGACTCCTTCAGCTTACTGCACACACACACAGACACAGAGGGAGAGACAGGTGAGGAGGCGGACAGGTGAGAAGAGGGATGGCGTGTGTCTCTGCATGACCTCTGACCTCTCCAGGTTGATGTTGGCGGCCTTGACTTTGCGCAGCTCCTCCTGAACCAGCTGTTTGGCTCTGATCTCGGCGTCCAGAGCCGACTGCAGCTCAAGGCGGGCCGACATGTCCACCTTCTGACTGCGCCGCACCTTCCACAGCGGGTCCTGCAGGGAGGGGGCGGGGACAGCTGATCAATGACAACTCTGAATCAAAGCCCCGCCATACCAGAGCCCCGCCCACAACAGGCAACAACACTGATCATTTAAGGTGCTTTCAGACGGCGAGCAGCTCACTGTCACCATAGAAACCACAGTCACCACAAACAGGACGTGACTTTAACAGATCAGATTATAAACCTGGGTCATCATTGGATCATTGATTAATCAGAAGCTGTATTGATTATATGATTCTGATCAGCACTTCCTGTGTGATGAGGTCACAGGTGGACAGCAGTGGTCTCAGGTGTCTGGAAGCACCAGAAGTTTCCCCTCATTGGCAGCAACAAATGGAGCAGTCAGCCAATCAGAGCAGCCCATGCACATAGCGTTGTTTGAGCATGATATCTGACCCCATGTGACCTCCTGATGGATGATGTCACTGATTTGGTTGCTGGGTGAAATCATATGGCACTACCCCTCCTGATACTGGAAAACCTGATCTAAGAGCTCTGCAAAGTCCAGACCCCTCAAGGACTAATGGGACCTCCTCAGAGTTGATGAGGATCCCTGAAGGACTCCTGTACAGGCTGATGTACAAGCCAATAGCCATGCAAGCTTCTTAGACCCCGCCCATAATGAGGCTGAGTGAATCCTGATTGGCTGAAAGCAGTGACTGACACACTCACCCTCCTGTCTCCACCAATTGGAGGCCAAGGCTTCTTAGGAGGCGTGGCCACTCCTGACTCAGGCTGAGACAGCAGATTGAAAGAAAAAAACTACTGAGTACTACTGACACATGTACTACTGACAGTACTACTGACACATGTACTACCGACACATGTACTACTGAGTACTACTGACACATGTACTACTGACACATGTACAAGTGACACAGGTACTTCTGACAGTACTACTGACACATGTACTACTGACAGTACTACTGACACATGTACTACTGACACAGGTACTTCTGACAGTACTACTGACAGTACTACTGACACAGGTACTTCTGACAGTACTACTGACACATGTACTACTGACACAGGTACCTCTGACAGTACTACTGACACATGTATTTCTGACAGAACTACTGACACGTGTACTTTGGACACATGTACTACTGACACAGGTACTTCTGACAGTACTACTGACACATGTACTACTGACACAGGTACTTCTGACAGTACTACTGACACATGTACTACTGACAATACTACTGAAGCAGGTACTACTGACACATGTACTTCTGACAGTACTACTGACACAGGTACTACTGACACGTACTACTGAAGCAGGTACTACTGACACATGTACTTCTGACAGTACTACTGACGCAGGTACTACTGACAGTACTACTGACACAGGTACTACTGACAGTACTACTGACACAGGTACTACTGACACGTACTACTGAAGCAGGTACTACTGACACATGTACTTCTGACAGTACTACTGACAATACTACTGAAGCAGGTACTACTGACACATGTACTTCTGACAGTACTACTGACACAGGTACTACTGACACGTACTACTGAAGCAGGTACTACTGACACATGTACTTCTGACAGTACTACTGACGCAGGTACTACTGACAGTACTACTGACACAGGTACTACTGACAGTACTACTGACACAGGTACTACTGACACGTACTACTGAAGCAGGTACTACTGACACATGTACTTCTGACAGTACTACTGACGCAGGTACTACTGACAGTACTACTGACACAGGTACTACTGACAGTACTACTGACACAGGTACTACTGACACGTACTACTGAAGCAGGTACTACTGACACATGTACTTCTGACAGTACTACTGACGCAGGTACTACTGACAGTACTACTGACACAGGTACTACTGACAGTACTACTGACACAGGTACTACTGACACGTACTACTGAAGCAGGTACTACTGACACATGTACTTCTGACAGTACTACTGACGCAGGTACTACTGACAGTACTACTGACACAGGTACTTCTGACAGAACTACTGACACGTGTACTTCTGACACATGTACTACTGACACAGGTACTTCTGACAGTACTACTGACACATGTACTACTAACAGTACTACTGACACAGGTACTTCTGACAGTACTACTGACACATGTACTTCTGACAGTACTACTGACGCAGGTACTACTGACAGTACTACTGACACAGGTACTACTGACAGTACTACTGACACAGGTACTACTGACACGTACTACTGAAGCAGGTACTACTGACACATGTACTTCTGACAGTACTACTGACGCAGGTACTACTGACAGTACTACTGACACAGGTACTTCTGACAGTACTACTGACACATGTACTACTGACACGTACTACTGAAGCAGGTACTACTGACACATGTACTTCTGACAGTACTACTGACACAGGTACTACTGACACGTACTACTGAAGCAGGTACTACTGACACATGTACTTCTGACAGTACTACTGACGCAGGTACTACTGACAGTACTACTGACACAGGTACTACTGACAGTACTACTGACACAGGTACTACTGACACGTACTACTGAAGCAGGTACTACTGACACATGTACTTCTGACAGTACTACTGACACAGGTACTACTGACAGTACTACTGACACAGGTACTACTGACAGTACTACTGACACAGGTACTACTGACACGTACTACTGAAGCAGGTACTACTGACACATGTACTTCTGACAGTACTACTGACACAGGTACTACTGACAGTACTACTGACACAGGTACTACTGACAGTACTACTGACACAGGTACTACTGACACGTACTACTGAAGCAGGTACTACTGACACATGTACTTCTGACAGTACTACTGACACAGGTACTACTGACAGTACTACTGACACAGGTACTACTGACAGTACTACTGACACAGGTACTACTGACACGTACTACTGAAGCAGGTACTACTGACACATGTACTTCTGACAGTACTACTGACACAGGTACTACTGACAGTACTACTGACACAGGTACTACTGACAGTACTACTGACACAGGTACTACTGACACGTACTACTGAAGCAGGTACTACTGACACATGTACTTCTGACAGTACTACTGACGCAGGTACTACTGACAGTACTACTGACACAGGTACTTCTGACAGAACTACTGACACGTGTACTTCTGACACATGTACTACTGACACAGGTACTTCTGACAGTACTACTGACACATGTACTACTAACAGTACTACTGACACAGGTACTTCTGACAGTACTACTGACACATGTACTTCTGACAGTACTACTGACGCAGGTACTACTGACACGTACTACTGAAGCAGGTACTACTGACACATGTACTTCTGACAGTACTACTGACGCAGGTACTACTGACAGTACTACTGACACAGGTACTACTGACAGTACTACTGACACAGGTACTACTGACACGTACTACTGAAGCAGGTACTACTGACACATGTACTTCTGACAGTACTACTGACGCAGGTACTACTGACAGTACTACTGACACAGGTACTTCTGACAGAACTACTGACACGTGTACTTCTGACACATGCACTACTGACACAGGTACTTCTGACAGTACTACTGACACATGTACTACTAACAGTACTACTGACACAGGTACTTCTGACAGTACTACTGACACATGTACTTCTGACAGTACTACTGACGCAGGTACTACTGACACATGTACTACTGACAGTACTACTGACAGTACTACTGACACATGTACTTCTGACAGTACTACTGACACAGGTACTACTGAAGCAGGTACTACTGACACACGTACTTCTGACAGTACTACTGACGCAGGTACTACTGACACATGTACTTCTGACAGTACTACTGACACATGTACAACTGACACATGTACTTCTGACAGTACTACTGAAACATGTACAACTGACACATGTACTACTGACAGTACTACTGAAACAGATACTACTGACACAGGTACTTCTGACAGTACTACTGACACATGTACAACTGACACATGTACTACTGACAGTACTACTGACGCAGGTACTACTGACACATGTATTTCTGACAGTACTACTGACACATGTACAACTGACACATGTACTTCTGACAGTACTACTGACACATGTACAACTGACACATGTACTTCTGACAGTACTACTGACACATGTACAACTGACACATGTACTACTGACAGTACTACTGACACAGGTACTACTGACTGGACTACTGACGCAGGTATTACTGACGCAGGTACTACTGACAGAACTACTGCTACAGGTACTACCGACAGTACTACTGACGCAGGTATTACCGACAGTACTACTGCCACAGGTACTACTGACAGTACTACTGATGCAGGTACTACTGACAGTACTACTGATGCTGGTATTACTGACAGGACTACTGCAACAGGTACTACTGACAATACTACTGATGTAGGTACTACTGATAGTATTAAGTCTGACATAAGTACTACTGACAGGTTGTGAGGGTCTGTGGGTGTTGTTGCTCTGAACTGGCTCACACTGGTTTCAGTGTGTAGGTGTGTGTTACCAGAGGTCGTGGTCCCAGACTGGAGCTGCGCAGAGTTTCCAGTTCCTCCGTCATCTTAGTAGCCAGAGCCTGAAGGTACCCACGGGCATCCTTCTCATCACTGACCCTGAAACACCACAGACACATCAGTCACAGAGCGTCCACCACAGACACAGACACATCAGTCACATAGCATCCACCACAGACACACACGTCAGTCACATAGCGTCCACCTCAGTCACAGACATGTCAGTCACAGAGCATCCACCTCAGTCACAGAGAGTCCACCACAGACACAGACACATCAGTCACAGACAGTCCACCACAGACACAGACACGTCAGTCACAGAGCGTCCACCACAGACACAGACACATCAGTCACAGAGTGTCCACCACAGACACACACGTCAGTCATAGAGCGTCCACCACAGACACAGAGTCCACCACAGACACAGACACATCAGTCACATAGCGTCCACCTCAGTCACATAGCGTCCACCACAGACACGTCAGTCACAGAGCGTCCACCTCAGTCACAGAGAGTCCACCACAGACACAGACACCTCAGTCACAGAGAGTCCACCACAGACACAGACACGTCAGTCACAGAGCGTCCACCACAGACACAGACACGTCAGTCACAGAGCGTCCACCTCAGTCACAGAGAGTCCACCACAGACACAGGCACCTCAGTCACAGAGAGTCCACCACAGACACAGACACGTCAGTCACAGAGCGTCCACCACAGACACAGACACGTCAGTCACAGAGCGTCCACCACAGACACAGAGGGTCCACCACAGACACAGACACGTCAGTCATAGAGCGTCCACCACAGACACAGACACGTCAGTCACAGAGCGTCCACCACAGACACAGACGGTCCACCACAGACACAGACACGTCAGTCACAGAGCGTCCACCACAGACACAGAGAGGTCAGTCACAGAGCGTCCACCACAGACACAGACACGTCAGTCACAGAGCGTCCACCACAGACACAGAGAGTCCACCACAGACACAGACACGTCAGTCACAGAGCGTCCACCACAGACACAGAGAGTCCACCACAGACACAGACACGTCAGTCACAGAGCGTCCACCACAGACACAGACACGTCAGTCACAGAGCGTCCACCACAGACACAGAGGGTCCACCACAGACACAGACACGTCAGTCATAGAGCGTCCACCACAGACACAGAGAGTCCACCACAGACACAGACACATCAGTCACAGAGCGTCCACCACAGACACGAAAGTCACAGAGCGTCCACCACAGACACAGACACGTCAGTCACATAGCGTCCACCACAGACACAGATACGTCAGTCACAGAGCGTCCACCACAGACACAGATATGTCAGTAACAGAGTGTCCACCACAGACACAGATACGTCAGTCACAGAGAGTCCACCACAGACACAAAAGTCACAGAGCGTCCACCACAGACACAGACACGTCAGTCACATAGCGTCCACCACAGACACAGATACGTCAGTCACAGAGTGTCCACCACAGACACAGATATGTCAGTAACAGAGTGTCCACCACAGACACAGATACGTCAGTCACAGAGAGTCCACCACAGACACAAAAGTCACAGAGCGTCCACCACAGACACAGACACGTCAGTCACATAGCGTCCACCACAGACACAGATACGTCAGTCACAGAGTGTCCACCACAGACACGAAAGTCACAGAGCGTCCACCACAGACACAGATACGTCAGTCACATAGCGTCCACCACAGACACAGATACGTCAGTCACAGAGTGTCCACCACAGACACAGATACGTCAGTCACAGAGCGTCCACCACAGACACAGATACGTCAGTCACATAGCGTCCACCACAGACACAGATACGTCAGTCACAGAGTGTCCACCACAGACACAGACACGTCAGTCACATAGCGTCCACCACAGACACAGATACGTCAGTCACAGAGTGTCCACCACAGACACAGACACGTCAGTCACATAGCGTCCACCACAGACACAGATACGTCAGTCACAGAGTGTCCACCACAGACACGAAAGTCACAGAGCGTCCACCACAGACACAGATACGTCAGTCACAGAGTGTCCACCACAGACACAGATACGTCAGTCACATAGCGTCCACCACAGACACAGATACGTCAGTCACAGAGTGTCCACCACAGACACAGACACGTCAGTCACATAGCGTCCACCACAGACACAGATACGTCAGTCACAGAGTGTCCACCACAGACACAGACACGTCAGTCACATAGCGTCCACCACAGACACAGATACGTCAGTCACAGAGTGTCCACCACAGACACAGACACGTCAGTCACATAGCGTCCACCACAGACACAGATACGTCAGTCACAGAGTGTCCACCACAGACACAGACACGTCAGTCACATAGCGTCCACCACAGACACAGATACGTCAGTCACAGAGTGTCCACCACAGACACAGACACGTCAGTCACATAGCGTCCACCACAGACACAGATACGTCAGTCACAGAGTGTCCACCACAGACACAGATACGTCAGTCACATAGCGTCCACCACAGACACAGATACGTCAGTCACAGAGTGTCCACCACAGACACAGACACGTCAGTCACATAGCGTCCACCACAGACACAGATACGTCAGTCACAGAGTGTCCACCACAGACACAGACACGTCAGTCACATAGCGTCCACCACAGACACAGATACGTCAGTCACAGAGTGTCCACCACAGACACAGACACGTCAGTCACATAACGTCCACCACAGACACAGATACGTCAGTCACAGAGTGTCCACCACAGACACAGACACGTCAGTCACATAGCGTCCACCACAGACACAGATACGTCAGTCACAGAGTGTCCACCACAGACACAGACACGTCAGTCACATAACGTCCACCACAGACACAGATACGTCAGTCACAGAGTGTCCACCACAGACACAGAAGTCACAGAGCGTCCACCACAGACACAAAAGTCACAGAGCGTCCCCTGCAGGTCGGACTCACCACTGGATGATCTCTGCGATCTGAGCCTCCCAGTGCGCCACGCTCTCCTTCTTAGATGACAGGTCCTGTAGTTCGTCCTCCAGCTGGCGATTCTGAGCCGTCAGTTTGTCCACAAATGAACACAGCTGAGAGAGACGTACCGTTACTGAGCATGTGCAGTGACAGTAACAGTGCTACAGATATTCTTACTGACTGATTGATTCCATACAGGTTCACAAGACATTAGACAGCTGCAAGAGCCTGGACGATCACATGATAAATAATAATATATGAAATTCAAAAGAACATTTAAGAAGATTCACAGATTCTTGTGGACTCAGTACTTCAGGATTTTGTCACCTTGTCAGTTTCAGCCGTCAGTTTGCGATTTTCTTCTGTCAGCATGTTTTTCTCTCGTTCAGATTTCTCCTTCAGAGCTGCAACAGCTTCATCCATCTCAGTTTGTCTGCAGAGACAAGAACAAAACCTGGATCAGGACTCACCTGTCCCTCTAGTTTAACCTGGTTCGGGACTCACCTGTCCCTGTAGTTTAACTTGGGTCGGGACTCACCTGTCCCTCTCCAGTCTCACCTGATGCAGGACTTACCTGTCCCTCTAGTTTAACCTGGTTCAGGACTCACCTGTCCCTCCAGTCTCACCTGATGCAGGACTCACCTGTCTCTCTTGGCCTTGTCCAGCTTGTCTCGGAGCTGCAGCAGCTCCTTGTTGGCAGCGAGCTGCGCCCCCTCGGACTCCTGCAGGTCTTTACGGAGGTTTTTGATCTCTGAGGAGTGGGCGGAGTCTCTCCTCAACAGCTCCTCCTCGTAGAACAGGACCTTCTTATCGAGCTCCGCCTTGACACGGGACAGCTCCTGCTGAGACTCCGCCCCACCAGCTGCTGCTCCCCGACCCTGCTGAGACTGAGACCAGAACCCCGATCATGTAACGTAAGGACTGGGATCTTTAGGATATATACGTAACGCTCCATCACAGTGTGTTAGTTTATAGGATTGAATAAATAAAACGTTAGACGTTCGATCAGGTTCAGCTTCCTGTGCGGTCAGAGTAATATAATATGTCACAGAGGGTCCTCACAGGTACAGTAGTGTGAACAGTGTGTGTGTGTGTGTGTGTGTGACCTCTGACCTTCAGGCTCTGCAGCTCCGTCTCCAGCTGTTTGGAGTAAACCTCACTGTGCTCCCTCAGCTTCCTCTCCTTCGAAGCCTCCGCCTTCGCATCGTCCAGCTGAGCCTCCAGCTGAAAACACACAGAATGCTTTTATTCTGAAGGTTTCCCCCTCCTTCCTGTCCTATGCAGCTTACATCTTCTCTGAGGCTGCATTCACACCAGAGCCACCGTCGCAGCAATGAGCTGCAGGGTTGTGATGGTCAGTCGCTTGTTTGAGTGGAAGGTGGAAAGTAACCCGATCTCTCCATCTGGCTGAACATTCGTCTTCAGTTTGTTTATCTCAGCCTTAATGATCTGGAGAATTTATTTGTTTTCTGTAACAGCTTATCCTGTTGGGGGGTCGCAGGGGGTGGAGCCTATCCCGGCTGACATTGGGCGAGAGGCAGGGTTCACCCTGGACAAGTCACCAGACTGTCACGTTCATAAACAGTGACAGCAGGTATAAATATACGTTGGTGTTTGTCGTCCTCTGGTGGTGAACAGGAGGAACTAAAGGAGGTTCAGTTTATCAACAGTTTGGTCAGAAACAAAGAGGGCTGGGACTTTAACGCGTTAATTTCAATTAATTAATTACAGAAAAAATAATGCAATAAAGAAAACGCATTTAATCGCATCTTTCTCAGTTCCCTAATTTCTGGCACACCGGTAACACTGACACACACACTCCAGCCTGGTGGGTGCGGTAATGCACCTGAAGAGTGTCTGCCAGCCGCGAAGAAGATGCACAGGATGCATTGGGTGACATCAGTTTTTTTTTCATCCTAGAAACACAATGAAAAAACAAATCGGATTTTCTTTTCTGGGGCTTTCAGCCACACTTTTTGGTTTTCATCGTATTTACTGAGCAGAGCGTGACGAGTTCACCTCCTGTCAGGACGATGTGTTCACCAACACATTTCATAAGAAGCAGATTTCATTAAACACGACATCATGACCTGAGTCTGCTCAGTCAGCGTCTCCGCCTCACCTCCTTGCGGTTCTTCTCCGTCTTACGGATGTCCTGTCTCATGGCGTCCATCTTCTGCAGGAGGGTGTCCATCTCCTCCTCTTTGTCCCGGAGCTGTCGGGACAGACGCTGTTTGGAGGAGCGGAGGTCGGCCATCCTCTCCGACAGGTCTGAGAACTCCTGCAGGGCCAGCTTCCTCTGAGAGTGAGCCTCCTTCAGCTCCTTCGTCTGACTCCTCAAACGCTCCAGAGAGTCGGCCAGCTGCTGCTCACACAGGACGACAGCACACACGTCATACTGGGGACACACTGGGGACATATTGAGGACACACTGGGGGATATATTGGGGACACACTGGGGGATATATTGGGGACACACTGGGGGATATATTGGGGACACACTGGGGGATATATTGGGGACACACTAGGGACACAATGGGGACATATTGGGGACATACTAGGGACACACTGGGGATATATTGGGGACACACTGGGGACATATTGGAGACACACAAGGGATATATTGGGGACACATTGGGGACAGACTAAGGAAATAGTGGGGACACACAAGGGATATATTGGGGACACAATGGGGGACATAGTGGGGACACACTGGGGATATATTGGGGACATACTGGGGACAAAGTGGGGATATATTGGGGACACACTGGGGACATAGTGGGGACACATTGGGGATATATTGGGGACACACTGGGGATATATTGGGGGCATACTGGGGACAAAGTGGGGATATATTGGGGACAGACTAAGGACATAGTGGGGACACACTGGGGATATATTGGGGACATACTGGGGACAAAGTGGGGA